TCCTCTAGCCTCCCTTACAAAATAAAATTCCAATAAAATATCATTTCAAGAAGAGGATGAATCATATCCCTCTGTGGGATTGTCTACGTTAACTGTAAATTGCATATAGTATACAAGTTAAATTCTGTAGTTCCAGTAGTTTAACAGCGGAAAGGCAGCCCATAACATTCAGATATCTGACCTGTTTGCCTGGTAGAGCTGAAAGTGCCATGTAACTCCAAGCCAAGGGAAAAAAGTGGTCCCTGGAACACCTGGCTAAGTCTGTGCTCCCTGCTAGGAGCTGCCCTGTGGTTCTTGTGGTAGATATAGTCATGAAGACGCAGAGGTGGGAAAAGCCCACACAGTCTGGGTGCCACTTACCTAGGGCTTCTCCTGCTCTTGGCTAATGAGGGGCCTTATCTCTTGTGTCTCAAATTGTGACTGGAATATGTTTTCCATAGAATCAGCATAGGTCTTTAAAAAAAAAAGTCTATAGTAATACATTTTTTTCCAAATTAGGTTTTCTTAATTATACAAAAAGCGATTTATCAGGTTTTTTTTTGAGACAGTCTTGCTTTGTCATTCAGGCTGGAGTGCAGTGGTATGGTCTTGGCTTACTGCAACTTCCCTTGCCCAGGTTCAAGTGATTCTCCTGCCTCCACCTCCCAAGTAGCTGGGACTACAGGCTCATACCACCTTACCAGGCTAATTTTTTGTATTTTTAGTAGAGATGAGGTTTCACCATGTTGATCAGGCTGGTCTCGAACTCCTGATCTTAAGCAATCCACTCACCTCGGCCTTCCAAAGTTCTGGGATTACAGGTGTGAGCCACTGCACCCAGCCTATCAGTTTTCATACAGAACTACAGATAAAGCTATAAAACAAGGTCTATTTTTAAAACAAAATTCAACAAAGGAAAAGCCTTGTATCTATTGTCGACTTACCTAGGATTTTATATTTCTTTCCACATAAAAATGCCAACTCTGGATTTCAGCTTTTGAATGGAAGTGAGTTGGTTTCTATTCATTGTATTTGAGGATCCCATACATTTTTTTTTCTCTAAAACATTCTAAAAGTTGGAACTTAATCTGGTTATACTTGGGTTATAATTAATTTATCAAATATGCTACTCTTTTGTCATGACTATTCTATATTGAAAAGTTCCTGCTTAATGTATTTTAATGGCTCTTACTTAAAATGTCTTAATTGAATTATCTAAGGTCAGATTATACACAATTAAATAAAAAGCATTTTGTCATCTATGAGAAATTGCCTTTACATCGCCATCAAGCAGAGAGAAACCATATCATTATTTAAGGCAACTCAATTTTTTTCTTTCTTTTTTTTTTTTTTGAGACGGAAGTTTTGTTCTTGTCGCTCAGCTGGAGTGCAGTGGCACAATCTCGGCTCACTGCAGCCTCCACCTCCTGGGTTCAAGCGATTTTCCTGCCTCAGCCTCCCAAGTAGCTGGGTTTACAGGCTCCCACTACCATGCCCATCAATTGTATTTTTAGTAGAGACAGGGTTTCACCATGTTGGCCAGGCTGGTCTCGAACTGCTGATCTCAGGTGATCCACCTCCCTCAGCTTCCCAAAGTGGTGGGATTACAGGCGTGAGCCACCAAGCCCGGCCAAGTGACTCAATTTCTAATCAGCTGTAAGAAATTCCATTTATATAGGACTCACTTCAGTTTGGTTTATTGGTAAGTATATTTTATTGACCTGTGAAATGGAAATTTGCTCACTAGGAAAACCATCTTCAGATACAGCGCCTAAGCCCAAGAGAGCCCCCAAGCAGAAGAAAATAGTAGAGACTGTAAACTCTGACTCCGATTCAGAATTTGGCATTCCAAAGAAGACTACAACACCAAAAGGTGAGGATTATCTTCTTATAACCCTTTAAACATATACTGTGTGGAAAAGATTGAATTTTTTCTACCTCATTGAATTTAGAGAGGCTGGGTACTTTGTTTTAAATTGCTTTACTTCTCAATATAGCAGCGTGTCTAGGAATCAATGCTGAGTTAGGGTCCAAAGGAGGTATACCAATTTAGTTCAGTTACTTTATTTTACAAATTTTAAAAGTTGTTGCTCGAAGAGGTTAAATATGAATCCCTAAGAATGGTCCAAATTGTCTCCTACAGCCAACTCACTGGAACTTATTAAAAAGTCAGATTAGCACTTCACACTAATTAAACTGTGACACTTACTGGAATGGGGTAGATCCAGGACTTTTAGGCTAGAATGTTTTTCTCATCTAAGAAATAAGTGTACTCAGGGCCACACAAGGAACCAGCACCAGTTCTCCATGGCATCCACTCTGTCTTCAGAATCGGGAAAGCCCTTAAAGATGCTTTGTTAAATATGTTTGTAAGACATGATATGCTCTGAGGGTAGCTGCTCAACCTTTTATTCAACTGAAGGATACTTTCCTCAGTGTGTTTCTTAGATTTCTTAAAGGAGTGGTTGGGATAAAGAACTATAGACCTAAAGGGAAATGGAGATATAGAGTGGCAAAGAATCATAGTGACTGGGAAGGTAGTATTTGAGGTTGCAGGATTGGAAGCCTTTATAAATTGAAAAATGCTATTTCGATTCAGTTGATCAAATATGACATCCCAAGATTATTTAAGGCTATCTTTGTACTTGTACAGTTTAGCTCTCAAGGAATTTTTAAAGATTTAGAATTGCTATTTAGTTCTGTTTTCTTTCTTTGGCATCATTGTGGGATGGAGAAATCTGGACCCTACTTAAATATTCTCTTTTCTCCTTCCACCTCCAGTGATGAGAATAAGAGGTTAGGTAGGTGAAAAAAGTGCTGCATGTGCTGAGTCTAGGTCTGGGAAGGAATGTGTATTTGACATTTTATAGTTAATACTGGGTGGTTCTCAGACTGTGTTACTCAAAGTGTGGGATATGTAATTGGTTGTTACTAGTGTTTGATAAGTCAAACTGAGTAAACAATTATAAACTGAGTGACCGTTATAATAAATTTGTGTTAATAAAAAAGCATGTGATTAATTTTTTTAGTGATTTGTGTTCTGTTGTACTTTTAAAAGTATTGGGCCCTGACAAATTGGAAATTGAAAGCACTCTTCCAAGATACTTCCTTTTCAGGTTCAAGGACCACATAGCAAATGCAAATGTTTTATGCATGAGGGGATTTGTCATAAAATTTGTCTCTGGGACTTTCCCACTAGTTTAAATGTATTTGTGAAAATGTCTTTAGTCATGTCAACCCCAGAATTGAAATGCTGCTGCTAAATTGTTTATAGTCACTCATAGTAAGAGATCAGAACTGCAGTGCTCCACTGATTGGGCATGCCAAATAAATACACTATAATGTTGTGACATTTATCTTTTTATACTGCATTTACCCATGGGAGAAAAAACCTTTTGTATCATTTTAAGGTAAAGGCCGAGGGGCAAAGAAAAGGAAAGCATCTGGTTCTGAAAATGAAGGTGATTACAACCCTGGCAGGAAAACATCCAAAACAACAAGCAAGGTAACCGAAAACATCATTGCACATTAGTGCGTGGCTTTAAAAAAAATCTATAATTGACTTGGTTTGCTTATTACTACAATCCTCTAACAGCTTTCCACCTAGCATCTCTTATCAATATGGGGGTTTGTATATGGTTGAGGAATTATTCAAGTATAAATTTACATAATCAGGATTATTTCTTGAATAACAGTGTGCTATAAATTAACCCACTTAGAATCTTCCATGTCATCCATTGAGCTAGTGGTGTGATGCTACCTATTATTAGACTGGTTTAGACTGAAATAATTGTTTTTCAGACTAAAGACTTTCCTTTTAACTTGCATTTATTTGACCAGGACTAATTTGATTTCTTTTTAATTGAATTCATTTGACTGTGGCTAATTTTCCTAATTAGTCTGACCCTTTCCAGAAGTACACTATTTCTTTTAGGTAATGAATGACATAAGCTCCCCTCACCCCTTTTTTTCTCTTCTTAGTAAAACTAAAAAATACCAGTGTAGATGATCATAGAGTTATGTTGAGTTCCACACTGACCTCGTTCATCCAGTCATCATCTTTGTCTCAGGTCCACCTCGGTGACTTTTTCCATTTTTTAAAACATTGAGTACTACACATGGTGCATGAGTCTTGTTTCCTTCCATGAATTCTTGATATGTAGTTACCAATAGGATAGTTTGAAGTTTTACTAATGTGGGCATTGTGTATACTTTTTGGGTAATGGATAATTTCAGGAATAAAGGCGTTACATTTTTGAGGCTAGAACTAGGTGGCAAATTATTGTATGTAATCCTTTGTATTCTTCCAAAAAATAAGGTAACTGGTCTTACACTTAGGTTAGCATTACGATTCTAGTAATTTTAAAAGCACCATTATTTGTAATACTTCCTAAACACAAGCAAAGTATGAGGAGTGCTAGTTCTTAATACTATTTTTTTTTCTAACTAATTTTAAATCTATTATGAAAATATCTAGAAACCGAAGAAAACATCTTTTGATCAGGATTCCGATGTGGACATCTTCCCCTCTGACTTCCCTTCTGAGCCACCTTCTCTGCCACGAACCGGTCGGGCTAGGAAAGAAGTTAAGTACTTTGCAGAGTCTGATGAAGAAGAAGATGACGTTGATTTTGCAATGTTCAATTAAGTGCCCAAAGAGCACAGACATTTTCCAACAAATAACTTGTGTTGTCCTTTTGTCTTTTCTGTCTCAGACTTTTGTACATCTGGCTTATTTTAACGTGATAATGTAATTGATGGTTTTTTATTATTGTGGTAGGCCTTTTAACATTTTGTTCTTACACATACAGTTTTATGCTCTTTTTTACTCATGAAATGTCACGTACTGTCTGATTGGCTTGTAGAATTGTTATAGACTGCCGTGCATTAGCACAGATTTTAATTAATTGTCATGGATACAGACTACAGACCTGCTTTTTGAAATGAAATTTAAACATTAAAAATGGAACTGTGTTCTCTCTTTACTGAAGATAAAAGTGTAGTAAAATCTCCCACACACCTTTAAAATAAATATATTTTATTCTTTGCCAGGAGACTCCATGGAAAAAGGTAAACAGTATATGAACATAGAAGCATTGTTAAACAAACAAACAATCTCAATGTACAAACAGAGCCAGTGAAAGTACATCACAGACTTGCTAATATATCAAAAAAAAAAAAAAAATCCACTAGTGCTTAAATGAGAACTAAGAAACTGACACTTGTATCTGTTAACCACTCTACCACAGCTTTCACTCTGCTTCATAGTGATTGAACAAGGTCAAAGGAGGCAGATTCTATGCCTGTGTCTTTGGGAGTTAGTTAATAGCCCCTTGGCATCAAGAAGGCTGAAAAAAAAAAATATCCCAATATCAGGCACGAATCAGGAAGGACACTAGAGTTATGTGGTCCAGGTGGTAGACCAGCCTAATTATCCCATGAAAGTTCCCTAATGGCTTGTGAACAGGTAAACAAAAACTTATTAACACTGAAAAGTGTTTTCGCCTTGGAGGCTATCATTACTGTAAAAATGTATTTTTTTTTTTTTTTACTGTGTAGTTATGTCATTTAATAAGTAATAAACCACTTTGAATTTAAAGTGACATTAACAGTTGAACAAATGACATTTGATTAACTGAACTGGCAGTTACACTGATACAGAATTCTCTTCTGCTAGCGCAGGGAATTTGTATACTTTTTTACTGGGCAACATGAAATAAAAGATGCAGTTTGAGAGCATCAGAAAGAGGAAAGACAAGCTTCCGTACTAACTAAATTAGAATATCTTCAGCCTTATCTTGTCATACTGTACAAGAGTCCTGTTTTCTTACCTTGGTGTCTCGACTATTCCATGAAAGCAAGACAGTTATCTTTTTGAACTTGGGTGGACGTGTACAGTAGTCTATTTCATAACCTTGGTGTCTTGATTATTTGAGTAGACATAAAGGAAAGCACCAAACATACAGTATAGAAAGAACAGAGCCATACTTCTGTATGTACAAAGTCTTCAGAAACTTAACCAGGGGTAAATCTTTTTGACTGGGTCTTTGCCATGCAGTCTTGAGTGTTCAGAGAGGAAAATAGAAGCTTTTAACTAGTTTCTGGTTGCATGAAATGGCTGAGTTTTTAGAATTTGCAAAGTCTGTATTTCTAGGTACATTACACAGTGAGGAGTATATATATTGATACATATGAAAACTTCTTGGTCCTTCTTGAGTTTTAATATATTTTCAGTCCAAAAACTAAGCAGCAGTAAAAATGTTTTTTCTTGCATTTTAAATCCTGGAACTGAAGGTACTGGGGAATGTTTGAAGTAGCTAGAAAATGTCTTATTGCACCAGTGGTGACTGACTGACCCCGCTGTTTTCCACTGAGCTGGGTGAGATGCTAGGACTGTGCTCTGCTGTGTTCCCACTTGAACTTGGGGTCAAGGGTTCATGTCCTTCAGAATTCTCCAGCATTTCCTGAATGAGAGGCGGCATTGATCCAGGAATTTCCATTTTCAAGGTAATTACACGTTCCGCACCTTTTAAAAAGAGATCATGGAAATCTGGTTAAGACAAGGAGTTAAGCTATAATAACCAGGGACCAACTTTCATGTATTTTAACATAGGTGTTTCCTAAGACTCTTGCTTAGGAATTATGAAATACAGAAATCAAATGGCTTTAATCTTTATTGAAAAGGACCCATCAATTATCATCACTCTCATAAATACAAAGATAAATGTATATGAAATGGGAATTGCACCCACCAAAAACCATGTTTATTGTGAAGTTCTCAACCAGCTCAGACTCACAGTATGTTGAGAGGGTCTTTTTATGATCCGCTAGAACTTCATCTTTAATGCAAGCAATAGCATATTGTTGCTTCCTTGGTTCAGAAAACGATGCAAACAATGCCTCACAGAGGTTATCCTTATTTTATACTATTAAAACATTTTTACTTTAGAGAAAGGAGCAAAGATGTGGTGATGTTTAAATTTGATGCCTCGGTTTCAGGAAATAACAATTTACAAAGAAAAGTTCTTGAGGAAACTAGCGTATCTTGAAAAAGACAGGTTGATGCCAGTTACCCACAAACAGGAATTCACAATGTGCAATGATTATTAACAACTTGATTTAGCAGTGTACTGTCCAATGTAATAGCCACTAGGTAGCTACATTTAAATTTGTTAAATGAAATTAGAAAAACACTGCGTCAGTTGCATAAGCCACACTTGAAGTGCTCGAGAACCTCATGTGTCTAGTGGCTACTGAACTGTACAATACCGATTACTTCTGTAACTGCAGTCAATTCTATTAGATATCACTAGTCTAGTTATCTATACAGAATGACAGTATTAAGTTAAACAGCCTCATTTTTAAAAATCAAAGATACCATATTCACAACTACATGGGTATCTGCTGTTTGCTTCTGCTCTTAATTGCATGCCAGGATGAATTCAGAATGCTCATCGAGGAAACCTTAGAAGGAGCTCAAGAATTAAGACTGCTTGTTAAACAAGCTCCCAGTGCATTTAAACACTTTCTGAAATACAGAGTTGATTCCTTGGCTAGCAAAACCTTCAGAGACAGTCAGTAGTCTGATGGGGAAGAAGAATGGCAATAGCCCATTTGGTACCAGGGATAGCTGCTGAGTTGTCTCTCTATAGAAAAACCTTTCTCTAACACTCAACAGTGATATGGCTCTAGGCACCTCTATAATTGCTTGAGTTGGTACATAAACAGAAAATTACTGGGCAAAGAATATTTATCCCTCTTAGGAATGCAAGAATTCCTTTGCTTAGAAGTGTGCAGAAGGAAATCTGCCTGTACACAAGAGAGCAATGGCTAAAGTGATGGAGAGAAACTTAACCATTAACAATGATCCTAAGTACTATTCATTTTTCTTAAGGTTTGGATGTTTAGGAAAAACTGGAGTCAAGGTTACATAAACCAGAGATTAAATGTATGAACCTAGATATTTAATTAAATGTATGAACTGGAATTAAATGTATGAACCTAGAAAATTAGCCTGTCATATAGTACATTCTCTTGAAAACCATGTTTTTCTAATCAGCCATGAATTTTAAAGCTCTCAATCATTATTAAGATCATTTAATAGGGTAAGACTTGAGGTTTTCTCTTTAGGGGGGAGTTATTTCCTTTTGATTTCAATTAGAAAAAGCCAGTAAACATCCTGAATTGAGGAATAAAGTGACACACCTGGTAAGGTGCTCAAGTCTGCGTTGTGACCATAGTACAGAGCGCACAAAGACATACCTTTAGCACTGATGCTGCGGAGATCTGTGATTTTCATTAAGATCTTTGGAAACATGTGAGGCTTGCTGGGTCGTCTTTTTCTGATATAAATTTTTAGTGCTTCCAGCAATGGTTCTTGTAGCTTATCTACTTTTGTTGGTTCCTCAAGGTCCTGGCGGTCTAGATACCAGGAATAAAGTATTAAACAAAATCAGGATTTCTGCCCTTTTCCCCTTTTCCTTGTTTCCTTATTCCTACTAGTATGATGACTTCATTAATTTGGTAACTCAATTACATACACAAATTTGCAGACTTAACGCAATAGCTTTAAGCAATGATACTTGATTGATTAAAAAAAAAAGCCCCCCTCCCCCTTGGTAATCTAACATTTTGATGGCTGGTTGCTTTTGTCCCAGGGAAAGAATTACCTCCTGTGACCAGAAGGTGTCACTACCGAACTGAATTAAAACAAACCTTGAGCAGGATGGTTATTTTAGCACAAAGTAAATCTGCTTCTTAATTAAAGCCATTACTTTTTAACCACTTACAATTCAGCCTCCTGTGGACCAGTAGGGGTCACTACGAAGAAGAAACCTAAATTTTATCCCAGTCCTCCAAGGGTTGGTGGGAGGGCCCAGCCAAAAACTTGTATGTCTACCCACTAAATAACAGCACATGCAGGTCCCTTGTCATTATTATAATGTCCCCAGGCAATTTATTTTACAGTCGTCTGATCCTGCCTTTAAGAAAAAACAAAATCTGTGGTGATTGGAGAAACAGCTTTCTGGGATTTCTTTCTGAGCAGAAGGATTCCCAAATACCATTATTTAATTTGTAACAACATGGAAAAATACAGTGAAGCCAGGCACGTATGCCTGGCTTTATCACATCTTTTCCCAAGGAAAAACAACTCCAAACGGGAAATGAGGGATTTTTCACAAATTACAAGTATAAACTGTTCTTCATGGAATTTCATGAGGCTTTTCTACATAGTTGGTACCTCCACAGATTAAGCAGATGGCACTGAGAAGGCCTGTTTCTGTGTCATCCATTTCCAAAGGCAGGAGCTGGTTGGCAAAGGTGAACACAAGGTCAGTCAGAGGACCAAATCCAGCATTGTGCATCTGAGTTCGATTAAGGGTAAGGCCGTCTGAAAAAGTCATGGTGTCTTGTTCTGGGGTATACCTGGTGCAAATTCTAAGAATCTGGAAGGGAAAAAAAAATGATGGATGATCTAAGCCAGCCTGTCTTGAAGACATCAATCAGATGTAAGCAGGAAATAGCTTGAAGATTTCCAAGAAGCTCCTATAATCACATGGGCACTCTGCCCCCTTTCACACGTTGAATGTTTTCTTTAGGTCTTTTATTAAAAGACTACAGAAATCAAAACTCAGAGGCTAAAGTTATTTAGGAAACACTAAACCAGACAAAAGAAATTTTGAGAAATACCTTTACATTAAAAGTAGTTCATTATTCAAATAAACATGTACAGAGTGCCTAGTTATGTCCCAGGCACTATGCCAGGTGCTAGAGATTAAAAAAGACGAATAAGATTCTATTTTTTTAAGAGCTTACAGTCTATAATAAATAAATGACAATACCTATTATTCATTAAATGCATAGTATATATCAAGTTTTGTGCATACTCTATATTCAATCTTTCAAGCAGCTTGGTAAAGTGAATAGTATTATTATTTTACAGATGAAGGATTTAAGGTTCAGAAAGGTAGGTGATGTGCCCAATGCCACATAGTTAACATGTAAATGGATCTGACTCAAACCCAAGTTAGGTTCTCTCTCCCATGATGCCTCTGGTCACACAGTTACACAGATAGCTATAATGCAAGGCACATGAGTGAAACCAGCAAGGTACTAGAGTTCAGAAGAAGGAAAGCTCAGAAACAGCCAAGAGGAAGTCAAGGGCAGATCCACAGAGAAGAGGTGGCATTTCCACCAAACCCTGACATGAAGGCAGGATTTATATAGGCAAAAAGCCTGAGTCACTCTGCCAGAGTCTCCCAATCCCACCCAGTGTATACTTGACACATACATAATCCGGTCGGCTCCGTGGGGCACCAGCTACTAAGGAGACTCCTGCTCACTTTGCTCTGTCTCTAGGCCTCACTCAGAGCAAAACAAACGAAAAATGCCTCACTTCAGTAGATACTCCATCCTGGCTCATGTTTCGACTGCTCTGTTAACCTAACTGCTGGTAAGGAGCTCTGCATTCCAGGGCACTTCCCACCCAGAACCACGTTTCTGCTGACCAGATTTCCATACTTGACTTTTCCCTCTGAAAATGTTTCCGAGCTGCTTGAAGCCTAGAAGCAAATCCCACCTGGACAAAAGTGAATAACCCAGTAGGCTGAAGAAGTTGAGAGTTTTCCCCAGACACAGGAGCTCAATTTGACTGGGTCTAGCCCTGGAAATGTCCACCTCAGCGTCACCTACAGAAGGGCAAATGTGATCAGAAAGGCCTGCATTCTTCCTGTTACATGGCCATGTGCAGAGAGGAGGGGCCTCTGAGGAAGACACAGGACCCTGCCTAGGACAGAATTCCTTGTAGGAAAGCGCTCTCCACCCTGCCCATATTCCCATCAGGGATCCTAGAACCAGAACTGTCCAATCTCTCATCTCATCAGGGAAACAATGGGGGCTTGGGACAATGACACTTCCCATGGTGAAGACAGTCCTTTCTGACTGGTGGTGGGTCCACAGAGCCTCACACCCACTGGACTGCAGGAACCACGATGGGACAGGTTCACTGCAATGGTCACATGCTTTTGTGTTCTCTAAATCTCCAAGAAGGCAGTGACTTGGGAGCCAGCCTTCTTCCTACACAAAAGACTGCAGTGTGGTTTGGAGGAAGGCTCTGGGATGCCCTGTGGAGGGCGCGCAGCGCCTCTGCTGGTATATGTATATTTCAAGTCTGACTTCAGTGACTTATTGGTTAAAACGCTGAGAGGAAAATTGTGAATGAGTAGCACTCCTCATCCTTAACATACAACAATAGCTCATGTTTTATCGATCACCTACTATGTACCAGGTACCACACTAAACACTTTAATGTATTATTTCTCTTATCCACCCGAGTTAAGTGTTACTATTACCCCATTTTACAGATGGGGAAACAAATGTGAATAGCTTATGCTAGGTTACATAAGCCAGTAGAATGATTTGATTTAGGCTTTTTCTAGAACCTGTGCTTTTAACCATTGCTCCATAGCTGCCTCATTCTCTCCTCATGCCAATACCCAAACCTAGACACCTCTCTAAAATTATTCTTTAGCCCAGTACCAATTTCGATATCAGCCTTACTGGGCACTTCTGGGCAGCACATAACTGCACAGCTATTCATGGTGGCCTGCCTGGTGCAGAGGAGCGCAGAGCTTGTGGCCTGGAAACAGAAATGTCACTTTATATTGGGAGGGGTGGTAGAGGTATTTAAATCAGGACATGTCCTCAAACTTCTTACTGTTCCTACTATATGATCAAGTGACACCATGAACTAGCATCTGATTGTTAATGTGTGTGGTTATCAAAACACTACCACGATCTCTCTTCATTGGATGGGTGATCATATTCACCTCCCAGATACTTGCCCAGGGGCCTCTCTGAGCTAGCCCAGCCATTTCCTCTGTGTTCCCATTGGTTGGCTTGTTTCAGTTCATCTTGGTTGCTGACGGGGTATGAAGCCATTCCCAGTGTCAGAGCAGTAAGAAGACCCAGAGGTCACTGGGCATAAAGCCTCACATTTCCCCTGAAAGCCCTGGGAGTTAAAATGTGGTGCTCAAGATCACACAGGCAATGGTGCTGGAGCCCAGAATACAGGTCTTCCAATCCCCAGCCTCGTGTTCCTTCGACTTCCTGGAGGAACAGTAGGAAATACTGCCTATGTGGGAAGTTATTAGCAAGTGACTGTCAAAGTTAGCACTTTGGGAGGCCAAGGGGGATGGATCATCTGCAGTCAGAAGTTCGAGACCAGGCTGGCCCACACAGTGAAACCAGGCCTGGTGACACACACCTGTTGTACCAGCTACTGGGAAGGCTGAGGTCAGAGAATCGCTTGAACTGAGAAGGGGAGGGTGCAGTGAGTTGAGACAGTGCCACCGCACTCCAGCCTGGGCGACAGAGAGAGACCCTATCTCAACAATAACGAAGTCAATATGCCCAATACTGATGGGCCCCAAACCCCAAGACACGTTTCTAGTCTGGAATCAGATGGGCACTAGACAGGTCTTTGCAGCTTTAGCATGCTGCCAAGAAAGGAATGCATGAGATCTGTCCTCTGCAAAAATGAAAGAATCCAGAGATACGCTGGAAAGGAACAGAAGACGGGGATTCAGGACTTTGCAAATTGCCAGTAACTCACTTAGAAATCCACATCCAAATGCAGCACTCAAATGTTTCTAACTATTCTATCCAAAAAAGTTTTCCGCTCAAAAGTTAGGATGTATTTAGATTCAGATGAGGCATTTGAACTATGTTCTGTTGCCGCTCTTGCTAGGAAGTTCAAAGCGGAAACCAAGTACAACTGGTACATCCAAAGCCGAACGCACATGGCCTGAGAAGGAATGTCTTTGGCTCAATGTCTTCTTCTATCTGAGGAGCCTCCATTCCCTGCCCCTACCCCAGCCTGAAACAGGACGGGTCCCGTGTGAAACAGGCACCCCCTCACAACTCCCAGCTGGTCCTGTCTCTGGAGGGAACCCAAGTCGTTTCATTTTGTCACATTAAAATCAAATGCCAGCGGCAACCACCAAGTACTTCTCCAGGATTAAAACACTCTTTGTTTAGAAGGAAGGGGGCATCTATCTGGAAAGACCAGCATGCAGGGCCCACGAGACGGGTAAAAATAACCTGGTCAAGGCCGCCTCCCCAAAGCGGGGCCCTGTCGGACAACAGGGAGCTCTCGTTGGTGGTCAAACTTGATCCTCCTCGGGGCAAAAAGAACCTTCCCTCCTTGCCATCAGCGAAGAGAGCTGTGCATCTCTCTACTGCTTTTGATGGGAGTGCGTGTTCTGTGTGTCTCCTGGGGGTGCAGGGGGACTGCTTGATAATGGAACCCTGGAAGGATCTGTTGATAGGGGACCCCAGAGGTAGAGCCAGGGACTTGTCCACCAAGCTGCCATCACCTCTGATGAGGGCCTCTGAAGTGATCCCTTATTTCCATTCCTGCTTCAGTACCATCCACGGCAGCCAGAGCACGCCTTTCAAAACGTTCATCAGAGGAGCAAACTCCTCATATGGCTTCTGGTCGCCTTCAGAATAAAATCCAAACTTCTTTCTGTAGCCTCAGTGTCCTCTCCCTACTTGCCAACTTCAACTACTCCTTTCCTTTGCTCATGAGCCTCTGGCCATCTTGGTCTTCTTCGTGACCCTTCAATGACTCACTGCTGAGGCAAAGCGTTCGCCCTTGCTTTTCCCTCTGGCTCAATGCTTTTCCCTGATCTCCATATGGCTCTGTTCTCAGAGTCCAGCTTCGATGCCACCTCCTCCAAAACCCATCACCCTTTTTTTCTTTGATCCTACTCCCTTTAAGGGATGGAGCTTAATTCCCCTCCCCTTGAGTGTGGCCTGGACGGAGTGATTTGCTTCTAACAGATAGAATATGGTGAAAGTGACGGTGTGTGACTTCTGACACTAGGTCACAAAAATCACTGTCACTTCCTTCTTGCTTGCTCTGTCTTGAATCTCTTGCTCTGGGGAAGCTAGCTGACATTTCAAGAGGAAAGGTAACCAGCCCCATGGACAGGTCCACATAGCAAGAAACTGAGTCCTCCCATCAATAACCAGCACTCAATTGCTAGGCAAACGTGATGAGCCAAAGTGGGAGCAGAGAGCTCCCAGCCTCCGCCGGTTCTTCAGATGACTGCAGCTCTGGCCAGTGTCTTGACTGCTATTTCATGACAGATACTAAGCCAGAACCACCCAGTGAAGTCAGTACCAGATTCCTGACCCGCCATGACGACGGGACATAATAATGCTTATGTTTTAGGCTGCTATAGATAACGACTACAGCACACACACCTGGGGCTGTACACAAATCTCAAGAGCACAGCTTCAGGCATTTTCCCTATACCATATACTTGTACAACTACCACCTAGATCAAGACCTGACTATCTCCAGCACCTAGCGGCTCCTATGAGTCATCCTAACCAAACCTCTTCCTCAAAAGTAACCGTTATTTTGACCTCTATTCCT